ATAATCGGACCCAAACATTTATAATCATGAAAAACCTTAGAATTTAATTGTTTCAATAGAACTATTTTAAATTGATTCAATGTTAAAGCGCATGTAGTCAAAACATGCATCGGTAATTATTAAGTACAAAAATAAATAAATAATAATGTATTGTAATCTAAATTATGAACAAAAATTTTTATTTCTCTTACAAAGTTCTATTTTACAAAATAAATTTTGTTAAGGAATAAAGTGAATCTTATTTAAACGAATCAAAGTCTCACAGTATTATCCCGAAATTTACAGAATAGATATATTAATATTATCCTTATATGTACATATTAAGTTATAATCACTTGTCCTATGAAAAATATAGTTTGCTTACACAAATTTTATTACTGTTTAATGTAAATAATTTTTCATACAACATTTTATTTTCATTCCCTAAAACCTTTGATACAATGCATGTATATTATTGGTATCTGAAATAGCTATTATCGGTACGCTTGACAGACGGATGGACATAAGCAATTAGCCTGATGAGCTCCCAAATTTATCCCACGATCAATCTACAATTACTCAACTATTCTAAGCCGGTGTAAATATAGGACATTAATAACGCATAATACATTAAATTTAAGCATATTTTGATAATAATTTACACTAAATAAGCTAGCTTATAGGTACAAGTCCAGTATGAATAACAGTGACCGCGGAAAGTCAAGTACAAAATTTTCAATTCAATAGTAGATATATATTGAGAACTGTACTTTCTAATCAATATTGCATCTGCGTTGCGAAAACTGCATCCATACTTTGTTTTAATGAAAAAAATCCATAAATAATTGTGGAAAATACTATAAGTGGGACCTTTGCACGAATTGACGTTCCTTGGCCACAAGCACAATTTGACAATTCATATCATAATAATATTATTATATCTCACATATGTGAGACACACACCTATATATATATACATATATAAAACTGTACTATATGGATTGGCCATCGTGAGATTGGTATATTCACAATCCTTGGATACATTTAATCATAGTAAAATCAACAAACCAGCTATCAAGCTCTCAGAACTCTTGAATGTATCCATATTGATATAGTATTCAGTAACCGGCACTATAATAGATTGAATTAAATTCATTATAGATTGATTTTAATTTGCTAAATAGGACACCTGTGAAGCATTCATCGAATATATCATTCAATTGTTATTAGACTTGACAATACCTAGCGTGTTGAAGTCAATAGCTGGTGGTTGTCGGAAATTCTAGTGCGACTGACTACTATTTAGACACCGGCGATAAATTGTCCAAAAACAATAGGCCAGTATTTGCCAGCAACGCCGTCTCTGAACACCTAAATAAATCAGTCGTTTAGCAACTCGACTACGTTCCATACGCGACATTAACATGTCAAAAATTTCGAATTTTAGCTGAGATTTTTTGTACATTTTTGCATACAAATATTAGAGTATCGTTAAAACATTACATTTTTTTATGTGTAATAGAACAATTTTCGTAAAACATTTTTTGAAGTTATTTTTTATATTTTACAATGTACAATAAACTAATGACAAATGAATGATTCCACACATGAAATTTGATATTTAGGTATACATATGTACATCGACAGAATATTTAACAATATTAGTCATAGTTTTCTTTACAATATAGTTTTTAAATTTCTGTATCGATTATAAAATCATTTGTTGTACATAATAAAAGTAATTTAATAGATAAGGGATTGTAAAGACCCAGGGCTTAATCAGACTTGTTTTAAGTCATTGCTAGGGTGTAGAATTCCCAGGAATCTAGACAAAAAAGAATATGATTTGTACTAAAAACTAAATATTTTATAAAACAAAAGCACTTACAGAACATTTGTTTACCAATGTAAGCTATAGTTATTTCATTTAATTACTTTTATGACATGAAAAATGTAGGAACATTTATTAATTTCTAATTTTTAATGTTTGGTCTGTGCCAAACTCTGAGATAATCAAAATATAATATTAGACTTAATCTGACAGGAACATTTAATATACAACAATTAAATGAAATTCTATTATTAATAAACAATATTTATTGTAAAACTTAAATTAAAATTATGAGTTCGTTTAAGTTTAACAGTATGATTCGTTTTAGGGACAGCCTCATTAGGAGAGATTTTTAAAGTAATTTTATTAATACTTGTAGTGTAGATATGTGCCTTTGTATAACATATTCCGCATCTAATTATTATGAATATTTATTGTGATTAAAACTAAAACATGACTATAAAAACATAATATGAAGTTACATATGTAAGCCTGTAAGTAGGAGTGAATGCGTGCGTGTGGACATGTTTATCTCTCAGAAGAATTGACCGATTGCGATAAGGTTATTTTTATCAGAAAGTTGATTCTGGTTATATAAGAATATTACTATTTTTTTCCAAAATAATGTAAGGCGTTTTGACCTATGGTTACTCAATTAAGGGCCTCACGCGTTCATCGTTAAATTATAATAATTAATTAATGGAAGGCGGTTCTAAAATTTAATAGAATTTGTTTACATATGAATAATTCTTATATTTAATCGGAAACTGTCGATTAACAACTACAGAAAATGTAAAAATTATTATAAGTTCTTGTGTAGAGAAAACCTTATGTATATATGTATTTCTAAATGAAAACACAGCGTAGTATAGTACAGAATAATAAAATAGGACTTTAATTAATATCCGACGTTTGCTCACAATTGCTACCCTAAGCAACTCAAAACAACTGTTGTCAAAATTTCACGATAATTTCTCGTCGCTTAGAACTGGAGGCTTTCAATTATAAAAATATTTCTTAAATAAGTCTTTATAACGAAATTCTTGATAACATTAGTGTTTATTTAACAGAGAAACTCTATTTTAATTAAAAGGGTTTATTAAAACATTATATTATTAAATCGCAGTGGATTCCGGACAAAAGCTTTTATTTTTGATTTCAATAACAATTGAAAATTACGAAATATAATACAAATTTAAATAAATACGTTTCAAAGTCAACTGTAAATTTTCCTACTAAGTTAATTATAATATGATACATAATATTTGTGTACTCAAGCATTCATGATTAATGCTGTAATATATAAATATCCTTCATTCTCATTGTTATTTAGTCAGTTTGTTCTCGCTATGGGAATTGATACGATCACCTGAACACACATGATGTAAACACACTCGTACAATATCTGGGATCTAGTTCAAACGTAACTTCTTATTCAAATTGGCCTATTATACTGTATTCTAGACATCGCCTTATGATTTTAACATGAAGTTTTAACCAATTCTTGACAGAGGTATCGTAAATTTAAATTACTAAACTCATTTTGTCTTCAACAATAACACAATTGTTAGAGAGGACGAAAATAAAATCAGTTGATAAATGCTGATGAAGCCTTCTTAGAAAAATACAGATGAACTGATAACCTAATTTTTTTGAAGTCAGTTGAAAATAACTAGAACTAGTTGCGTATCGAAAATAAAATATAACCTCATTATTGAAACATTTCAGTATTTTTATTAAAATATCTTTATAAAAGTATGCACATAGCTTTATAAATTTTGTTAACATTTTATTTTTATTTTTTAAAGACTTTGATTAAATGTAAAATTGCCCATTTCTATAAGGAAATCGCATAAGTTATTTGGTTTTTCGACATATTTTATCGAATTTTACGTAACATCAGTTCATTTTTTGTGTTTTTTTTCAAAACACATGCTAAATATGTTTTATGTCTATATTAATTAAAACTGACATAACATATGAATCTGTCAACTATTTACAACTATATTTTCTCTATACGAACGTGGCTCGTATTTCATTTTTACTATGACGTTAAACGTCAAGTGATAAATAAATGCCAATTTCCCATATTAATATGCAACAAAATAGCCGTAAAATGTTATAGCAAATTTTATGACACCCGTAGTACAGTTTTTATAGGGGCCGCCCATATCTTTGTGTTTCCTCAGTTGTGTGACCGTTATGTGATGACCCTAAGGCCTTTTTATATAACAAATTTCATAGAACACTTTTACTGTTTCATATTTCGGAAAGATTTTTGTTTTCACGCAATTCAATTGCAATATACATATTTTAGTAACAAAGAATCAACATTATTTAAGTTCTGTAATGGATGTTTAAAATGAAAAACAAAACTATATTTCTTTTAAAATTTATTAACAGTAAAGAAAAACACGCGATATTTTATAGTAAAAATAGCCTATACAACATTTAAAACTGATCGCGCTTACGTCTTTGGCAAGTCTACATGCGGTGTCTGAGCCTCAAGCAAACCATTCATACATTTAAAAATATATTCAAGAAGGTCTTAATACATTTATAATTATATTAAAAATAAACTTAAAACTACATATAAATAACATTTAATGTAATAAATATATTATTAGGACATGATTCTTTCCGAGATCACAGATAAAATGATACAGAGTCCCAGAAAAATAAAACAACAGACGATCTTAATATATAAATTCATAATAAATATCACCAAATTCATATTGATATGTGGTTTCTTGAGCTTCAAGCTGGTAACAGATTCACAACGACATATATATTCACGTATATAAATTAAATAAATTGCATTTAACTTATTATGTACAAAATTTTGAACTTATATGTTAACAAAATATACAAACACTTAAATAGAATTATCGAAAAAGCGGTACAAATTTGTACAAACAGAGATATTATTTGGCATAAAAATGGCTCAACCAGTACATAGTGGAATGATTTAAAAAAACATTATGCTGAATACATTTTGACGATATCATTTGGACAATCTTTGGCACAATAACTTATATCTATAGTCTTCAATCGACCAAAGACTTGCATTGACATTTCCATCAGGAACACGAGACCGACTAGTGAGTCCTCACATTGCACTTTCCCTTAAACCATCACATGTCATGAACATTAAATGTTTCACATCACATCACACGATAACAGTTTCACATCACACGACAGCGTTTATTTCATTCGGTAAAGGATTTTCTAATTTATCTATACATTTCCTAATCGCGTCAAGTATTGTAACAATACGTCTGTCTAACGCGGCCAGGTGAGGCTCCCAAAGAACAGGGTTCACGGGATCAGCTTTCATAGAATCACGGAGTACCTTTGATAGTGGCACGCCGTTATGGAATCTATAGAACAAAAGGATTGAAAATAAATATAAATCTACAGTTTTTCCAAAGAAAATATACTATATAAACATTATAATACATAAGACATATTTTTAGCATACATGTATATCTCATATTCTTGATACTTTGTCGAACTAAAATGATTTGTTGTTGTTTAATTTAAAAATAGTGTTAGAAATAAATTTAGGCAGTACTTAAACTTAGATGTTTATTACTCTATAACTCGTAACAGAATCCCCAGTCTAACACTTGTATCCTAATTATGATTTTCAAAGGTAACATATTTAGATGAAGGTAAGTTACAATATCATACAGAGGGCGCTACATAGTTAACTATCATAACAATTCCCAATTAATCCTACTAATATTATAATTGCGAAAGTTTGTGAGTGTGTGTGTTTGTTTGTTACTTCTTCACGCTCAAACGGCTGAACCGATTTTGATAAAATTTTGTATACAGGAAGCGGACGTCCAGGAATAACACATAGGTTACGTTACAACCCGGAAATCCGTGGGTAACACCGCTGGGCGCAGCTAATATAAATATATATAACGCTAGACTTAGAATCATAAAGTACATAAAAATTTAAATAATTATCACTAACAATAGTTTTAAGATAGATTAAAACTTTACAAAATTTATTTTATGTACAGAAGAGAAGAAAAATTTCTTACTTAAGCAGAACTGCTAGCGTAGTATGTCTAACGGTGCAACACTGTAGTAGCGGCGCGAGTATACTGAGCTCATCATGGAAAGCCTTTCCAAAAGCTCGTCCCTGATCGAGATGCAACGTAAATGTCTCGTTGCCGAACATTCTAGAAGGAAATTGTGTATAACATTATTATCGTTAAGTCTATAGTAATAAAAATTCAGCTATTAATATCTTTCAGTATTTCTTACGAATTAATATTGGATATGTGATTTGTATGGAATATACATACTTGAACGTCTCATAGTGATGTCTGTCCATGTTCCCAGTGAGGAAATCGAATATCGACATGTCTATGAGATCTAATAAACGACGGCCGGAGTCGTACGGCGGAGTACTGCGGACCTTTATAACATAAAAGAAATGATTATGAGAATTTATATTAATACATTAGATATATTTAATAAGAAGTAATCTCACGGATTATGTGTGTGTGGTATATAATAGTTTTATTTTATTTAAGTTAATTAAAGACGCAATGTTATTATGACTTTTCGATTTATGTCAACGTTAGTGTTTCAAAACAGAAAACAGAAACAAGTTTTAAAACCAAGTCACTTGTAAATATTATTAAAGTCAAAGGAATTGTAGATTCATTTAAATGAAATAAAAAAAAATCAATAAGCCATCAATTTCGCTTAAAAGAATTGTTTGTATTGATTATCAAAATAGATAAGAGAATAAAAATATTTAATTATTAAGATTAAACTCGATGACTGTTTTAAAACAGTTTTAAAATATTGAGTAGTAATCAAATATTTAACTTTCAAAAGGTAACATATTAATCCTTAAGATCACATGATTTATTAATTATAAGTGAGAAATATTTTGATTATTCCACTAAAATCAACAATATTATAGAGGTAACATATTTTAATAAAATTTCCCGTGTCATTATTGCAGCTCGGATAAATCATATAGCACTTTCATCAAGAACTCACGTAATACTATACTTTTTTCCTTACTTAAATATATAATATTCGTTTAAGATCAAATCATATAATTTTTACCGTATCACAGTAGTCTGACTGCAGTTCCCACTGAGCTTTCCTTCGTTTGTGATAAGATCTACGCCAGGGATGTCTCCACACCTGAAAACAACATCTCTTTATTATTATAATAGATTTACTCACAAATAAAATAGGTTACCATAGATATATTACGATCTTATTCTATGATAAAATTAGATCTATAAATTTATATTTTTATAAAATTATAACCATTTCCCAGATAAGAAGGAACGAATAAAAAGTTAACATTTCAATATGACGTTACGTATTTTTCTATAGATGTATGAAAATTGTTATAAATTTATACTTTGATGTTTACCAATATTAAAATTCTATAAAAAGTTTTTGTTGCATTGTTCCAGCAATTCGTTAATTAACCCGCTATGTAATATAGTGATAAATTATTTGGAACAAATACTTATTAGTATTACAAATGTAAGCAACGCGAGTTTTTTTAATAATGTAAGTACATCTTAAGTCAAATTCTCATTTTAATAGCTGCAACATTTTATATGACATTTTTTATATATTATTTTAATGTATTATCGTTTTGATTATACGTTAATTACACTAACAGCGAAAATATGAAGGATAATCCACTTTTATATTCTTCTTAATAAGACTGTCATTGTGCAATAGACTGCCATATATTTATCACTATCGTTATATCTTTTAATTACTTATATTAATTATGAGATATTCTTTTAATAGTATATATTAAAAATAAATTCCAAAACAAACCTTACGCTCCGCTAGATCAGACGTTGGTAGGAAAGCCGCAAAGCTGCCTTCCAACATGTCCGGATTGCCGCATATAGCGTGGCCAGTGTCGCAATAATACGAACACTTTCCATGGAAACAGAAGTTGTTGGCTGGTGATACGAAGAACGTCTTCAAGATGTCTCCTTCAGTGACGTCATAGATCTCAGTGGTCATATTCACAACTCGACCCACCACCGGCATCGCTCGACGGAAACCGAGTATCCTGGTTAAATGGTATCCGGTCAGTTGATTTACTTAATTTGGTTAGATTAGTGATTTATGTAATATAATACAATTGGACAAAATATTTGTGTTATTATCTTGTTATTATATAATGAGTAAAAATTCTTCTCTATTTCTGTTTTTCCTTTTAACGTACGGATATTTCTTTTAAATAATGTATTCATCTTTTGCTAGCTCGCACCACGTATGAGGAATATCAAAGTTTTTATTGAATTTTTCTTAAGTAGTGTTCGAAAGAGTGTAAACAAAAAGTTTTTATATATTGAACGTTTCATAATAGAATAAAATGCCTCTATTTAGTTCAAATTAGAAGTTAACCGCATTAAATTACTACTGTAGTACAATTTAAGGGGGGTAAGCTTACAAACGTCTATACAGATTCAGCGACAACCCTAATTAGTTTAAATTGCTGTTTGTAATTGGTCTCTGTTAAGCTGCAGTGTGTTATTACATCTTCAACATTACATATTAATTAAGTAAAGCACTAACCGATGAGGTTTTAATGTATCATATTTGTCACTCTAGTTAATAAGGTTTTACTTTACAATTAAAACCTCCTTAGAAGTATTTTTTTTAATTATACATACCTGTCAAGATGAAAAGCAGCAATTTCAGCGTTATGCCTCTCATAGTCTGAGAAGTAGAAGTGATTAGGCAGAGTTTGTACATCCCTGGCGAACCTACGAAATTAAAGAAAAAATATAGGATATGTGTAAAATTTATTCTATTATAAAAAACGTGTTATAAAGCTAGTAAGTTCAATAGATCAAATGTTAATCTAATATCTTGATATACATATTTAGTCCCTTTCGGAGAGGAGTTAATTTTATAATGGATAAATGTTGGTAAGGCGACAGATTGATAGATAGAACACGGAATCTGCGATCAAAGTACCATCAGTTATTATCTTAAACAAGCACCACTCAAGTTGAGACTCCAAAGAGATTTTAATTCATAATCATTATATGAAAATTCATTCTATGTAAATGTTTTACTCGTATCCTCTAAAATTTATTAATTGATTCAATGTATTGACTATCATGTTTATATTTTACGTTAACATAAACAGGAATAACAAATAAAATATATACACAAAGTATTACGAGTAAAAAGATAAGATATCGACTTCGCACTAAGATAACCCCGCGGTGAGGTTGAATTAAATTATTAAAAAAACCGATACAAATAATTTAATTATTCATATATTTCCATCTAAATCTAAATTTTTAACTATAACTTTACCAAAATAGCGTCTTTGTAGCTTTATAACTTTATATTATTTGACATCCAAGTACAAGGCAATCTATAAAATGAATTCGACAGTCTCTCTCTTTACGTACTTATAACACAACGTCGAGTAATAAATGCTTTACGGCCATTTCATTTAAGTATTCCATACATACATACATACATACTCCATACATTAAATCGTAACGTGTGCCTTATAATAAATAGGACGATAGTGTTCAGAACTTTTAAGTTCTTGGAAACAATGATTGTAGCTAAGTAAAACAAGTTATAATAGTTATTTCAATGGTTACGCGATGTTTAATTGATAATATACATATTACCTATAATATTTTTTTTAGAAACATATTATTTAATAAATTAAACATAATATGGGGAAATAATTAATCAATCAAAACAAATTCCACTTTCAACAACGCGATATTTTTCCAAGTTAAAATGTATCATTATTTAGTACAATTGAATAATGGTATGCAAAATGTGTGTCTAAATCATTTAAAATTTAGTACTTAATCAATGGAACGGATGTAGAACGTTTAAAAGTCACTGGAATCGAAGCTGGTTAGATAGCAGTGATTCAGGTAACGTATGACCAGGGAGCCGGTCGATTTATGACGCTACCTACTACACTCAATCCTACAATTTAAATCGAATATATACTACAATATATTGTGAAATAATCAAACTTCAGGCTATAGAAATTTAATCACGTGTTCATGTTTTTATAGAAAATATAGTTCCATATAGTTTTATGGTAATGTTTAACTTTATTTATTGTCGCTTCATTATCAATATTTCTCTCAGAATACATCGAGATAACGTATTTACGATGTCTTAAATGTCCACACGAAGAAACAACAGAATAATAATAATAATTTAAATTCTAAATATCTAACAGTTTACACACATAGGAAGTGTACTTACTTGTTTATTGGAATAACATTATATATGATATATTAAAAAATATATTATCGTAGAGCAAATAAAGGCGCTGTCTCATTCTTATCTGTCGGCAATAAACTTTCCGTTCAAATCGTCCTACTAGATAGAACTAATCACATACCTTCAATAAACTTGTGACCTATAAACCTATCAAGGAGGGTCAGTATCGCAATTTATTGTCCCTAAGCAAATAGCGCCGGTATCTCAAAGATCACTTGTCAAAGGGTAATCCCTTGTGAACATAGACTTCTTATAAAACATTTTCTTTAACCGATGCCTTCATTGTTTGATCCCGATCTTTCGACGAGGTATTTTTTGTTTAATTTTTATTTTTTCTTAGTCATATCCTAAGTAAGGACGAAGTGTTGAAAGGCCCTGATATTTGATATGTGCCGGGGGCCGAGTGACAATAATCTTTAGGGGATTCTTAAATTACCAGTCATCATCACATCAAATTAAGAAAATTATTCTATTTCTGCTTATTAAAATGGAACTTTCTTATCTTTCTACGTTGTATTGTAAAATATTCCATTATATTTTATGTCCATCATTCAGATTCTAACATAATATTGTGAAATATGAGTACACTTACTTAGAAAAACTTATCCACGTTTTCTAACTTCGAACAAAAATATGGTCTCTTGTATAGTTTAACGATATAACAACAATGGAATATAGAAGTCGGAAAAACTCGCACTTGTTCAGGACAAGAAGGCTCTAAGCCGATAGAGAACCTTCTCGAAGTTTGCTGAATGGATCTCAACAAGGTGACGGAACTTATAAATTTGTTCAGAACACACTCGTAACTTAGTGAAGTGCGCAAAAATATTCGATCAACAACACAATATATTGAAAATATTGCTCTCACCTCATCGGTTTGAATAAAGCCTGCACGCCGTTTGGATAGTCGATGATGAGTTTCAGCTGTGTTCCTCCTTCCTTTTGTTCTGGAAGATAAAACGTCATATAATTTCACTATTATATAACATACAATTTGAACACGTAAAAAAATTTCGCTGACATTAAAATGTAAGTGTACAGTAAAAGTAATAATATCGTCTTTAGCAAAGTTTCCACCTGTTGCTGTATTAACGTCATTAAAATAACTAGTACTCATTTTAAGCTTTATACCTCTGAAATTAATGGTCACCTAACAGAAATTATGTTGAAGCAGACATCAAAAGAATAGAAGTACATATTAAGACTACATAGATTTTTAAAAAAATTATCAAAATCCTGTCTTCACCGACAGACACCTCTCGCTATAACCCCCTTCGTTTCGTCGCGAGTAAAAATACAAAGGAAACTTAACAGAACAATATTATTGCTTTTATATAATAACGATGTAATTCAATTAAAATAGCTCAATGTCTAGTATTCGGTATGACCTTCACAACAAATGAATTAACTATTAAGGCTAAGCTTGAAAGTTGTTCAATAAACCGACCGAGTGGCATACATTAAACAATTATATAGGATACTAAAAATAGGGAATTGAAATGTGATAGTGTTTTAACAATGAAATCCATTTAGTGATATAAATATTTAATCACAATTCAAAATAAAGGGCGAGATTGTTGTGGCACCGGACGAGCCCCACTGATTGAAGCAGCCCTCATTTAATATACATAACAACTGCTTAACTTTGTAAAGGTCCACTATTGTAGTGATGAAATCCATATTTGGTACTTCAAATACATATTCGGTCTTACATAGCCGTTTTACTTATATATTATAATGCATATAGTTGGTACTTTATGTAATGGAAAATAAGTATTAGGGGGATTTTTTTGTACAAATTAAATGTTAATTTATAAGAATAAAACATGCATAAGTACTTAAAACTTTATATCTCTTGAGATTGACAAACTGTCTGTTAATTTTAAAGCGGCACAGTTTATACTAAATTTCAAATTCTATATAAGTATAATAAAGTTTCTAAAAAAAAAAATTATAATAGAATAAACTATTTATATCAAGTATTGTCGTGTTTTTTTAGTACCTCGTCTTTATATATATTTTTTTGTATAATAGAACATTTACTCAAATAAAACAAATCCCATCCAGATCAATCACTTCCTTACATATATGCTTCAAATAGAGATAGTCTATTATTATATTTAGGTCTATCAATTAATTATTTAAATTTGGTTTTAGCGCGTAATGGAATGTAACTTGCAATTTATGAAGTCGCTATTTTAATACAGTAAACTAGTTCTACTTAGTGATTGTTTCGTGTTGCAATTCGGCATATTTGATTTTATTACTGGTTTTGAATCGACATTACAAAAACACCACGTCAATAAACATAGCTTAGTTGCGTAAGCAATGATAACCCTATTTTAATAATATTATTGAAAGTCATATTGTTTATACTCTACTACGAGTAAGTATTACAAAAGTTATAAGGCCAATTAAATTTGTTTTGACACATGTCAATTACTAATTAAAATGTAAAAGACAATATGACGGTGTTTATTTTAAAAATCGCGATGTTTAGCAAATTATATTATAAAATTAAGATATCTATATGTCACGTACCAACATGTAGGATGGGTTCAAAGGTCATGTCGCGAAGAATGGCGCCGACCAGAGGCTCTCCGTCTTCATAGAGCTCGTGTTGCGCTATTTTCAATTGAAATTTCTCCAAATTTGAAGCATTTACACTGTAACAAACAACACGTATGAGAGATTCGAAAATAACACTCTATTAAATAAATATCACGCGACGCATCCTGATTCTAAATAAAAATGTGTTAGGAAAGTGGATCTTAAAGTCAATCGAATAGTATAGCTACTTATTATGTCCCTCACACATTCTTAAACCTGGTCGTTAATGTCGAGATTTACATGGAAGATTTTCCTGAGCGTGTTGGTTTTGGCTGCGTGGTACATGGGTGGACGTGAGTTGGTTGCGGCGGCACTCCAGGCGACGGTGCGACACTGAATACTAAGAAGCCTACATGTAACGTTCTCGATTTGTGGCATACTCCGATAACCTGCATTCGGGAATCAAGCCGTCTGCTAGGAAATTTATTGACTCTCATTGTGTGAATTGTATATCTATCAAATCGTTGTTCTAAATGATAAGTTTAAACATAATATGGTGATAGTTTTGAATTTTAATCTCGATTAAATGAATAAGATAAGAATATTCTGAAAAAAATATACATAGTAAATTTTATGACACTCCTGATTAAAGCTAGACGTTCCGATAATATCCTTAATTATATACATTTTTTATGAAGCTAGATTTACGTAACCATTATTAATGTAATAAAATTACATATTATTATGTTTTTTATATCGCAAACAATAAGAACGATTTTTTATTTAGTCTTTTATTACAAATAGTAAAAATACATAATAAAAATGAAGGTAAATAGTTTGATTCTATTTATAATTTTTATATAGACCAAATTTTTCTTGCTTAAAAACTGTTTAGGACCCAATGAACCCGTTATACATATATAGATATACAAATTTAGTGATATTAAATTAAGCTCCATTATGAGTCCTATTAAAACTCGAATAATATCAGTATACGCATTCTTATACCAAAACATTTTTGTGTCCTTCAGTTAGCGCAGGTAAGAATACATAATAAATGATGTTTAAAGCACACACTAGAGAGTCTCTAATTTGCAGTAAAGAAAACGTCGCTCAGAATTTAACCATTTCATATAAAAAATTTCGTATATGAGGCAAGAATGTGGCAAAAATTATTCATATATCAAAGCAACCCCTTTTTAGTGAAACACGAATATAGTCATATCTGGAACAGCGTTTGAGGAAGCCTTCATGCATTCATTCCATTTAGTTTTATTGTCAAAGATCCGCGCCTATCTCAAGGCAGCCCCGTAACTGGATTTTAAATAAGATTCCCAGCAAAGCTGGTGAAATTCGCTTTACAAGATAAAAAAAGGGTCACTTTGTCTGCTACATTATAGAATCAGTTCATCGTAGAAGTATGATATTATGATCCCTTTTATAGTTATATCAAAAATACCCCTTTATATCCAAGAAATATAAAATTGAGAGAACGGGCGTGTTTTTTCATTCCACTAGCCGTGTTCCTATGAGATTTTGTCTAATATTTACTTTCATGAAATTACGTCAAGCGTCGGCCAACCTGTTTGGTTTTGATGCATACTTCAGAGCTCTGAGCCTGCTCCGTAGTAGATGAAAAGACGGCTTTCGAGACATATTCAGCTATTCTTGAAATGGGATATTCGTTTTACAATCTAGCTTTTTACTTGTATTTTAGTCCAACGATCATAAATATTGACTCGGTGACTTATGAAATAAAAGTTATAATTTAAAATTTAACATTCATATCAAAAGGAAGTTGAATCTTAACTGCAATATTCATTTTATCAAAGTTTAATTGCGGCAATAACGAAGTAAGTAACGCTTAATTCGGCGACTTTCTGTGCTCCATAAATTGTACTTGTAGATGTCAGCTGTCGACAACTTTCGCAAAATTTTCCGTATAATGTCCTTTTCGGGACCGTTTTTCGCAGAATAATTTTAATTAATATTCTTTATCCTGGACATTATTTTTTGTGTATTCTTTGATGTTTGATATAATGTGTGAAATATTTCAGCTTAATCCAAATAAACTAATTTATAAAGAGTGTATATATTGTATATGTTTTTAATATCATTTACCTTGGTTCCAAGTCCTCCATTTCACCGATGGTAGGATTCTCGGGTCTTAAGACATTCAGATCTCGATGGGGTGGTACCACCACAGGGTTGTCATCAGCCTTCCCTTGTAGTTGGAAGACCAGTATCCTCTGTAGGTCTTCGAACCTATCAGCAGGGGTTGCTGGCGTTCTGGGTTCAGCGTCGCCGCCGCTCGTCTCACTAGGAGCTGACTGCTCATACTCTCGAGAACCATTGCTGCCATTGCTATATAAAAAAAACAAAATCAATACTGATTTTTTCGTTAGGAGTTTCATATTAACAAACATACACATACACATGCCCATTATAAGTTCTCAGGCGAAGATGTTTCTACCATGTTATGAAATTCAAACATACCTAACGACCTTATAAAACCCATAAAATATTAACTAAAGACGTTACGATATTTCATACTTTCAATTTAATCCTTTTACAATGAAAAAGGTAATAACAAATAAGTCTATTAATAAAGCACTAAAATATTAAGAACCCTTCACAGTCTTGAGAAAAGCTCCAATTGATATCAACCGATTGTGTTTGCGAATTTTACTATTGACCTTAATATTTTGCAAAATTAATTGCTTTGTGTACTGTAGTGGATTGGTTTATACTTATATTGTCTTTTCCGTTACGTAAAAGAGATCCTCAATAATAAATTCTAATAATAGGTTATTTTCCGCTGAACTTCACAAAAGTCAGAACACAGTAGTCTTTTACATAACAATTTTTAAATATCCCATAATAATAAAAATTATAGTTTAATACAAATAATACAATGATTTTATACACATTAATAAATAACAGATACAAGATAAGAAAAAATTGCTCTATCCAAACCTAAGATAATACGTATTACTTTCCCGGCGTCGGGACGTGACGACCCCATCGCCCACCGGTGTATTCCGGTGCAGTTAGTCACGGGGGGGAAGGGCCTTGACCTCCTCGTGGGGTCTTGGCCCGGGCTGGGGGTGCAGCCCATGGAGGTGGGTAGGACGAGGCTCGGCGGTGTACACCGCCGCTGCCAAGTTCGGCCCTACGTGTTGGCGGGTGGCCTCGGCCACTGTCGGCGCAGTCCGGCGTCGGGACGTGACGACCCCATCGCCCACTGGTGTATTCCGGTGCAATCAGTCACGGGGGGGAGGGCTGGGGGTACAGCCCTGGGAGTAAGACGGTCACGGATCTGGCAGGAGGCCGTCCGTGGCTGTCTTGGGGGGGAGGGGATACTCGGGTCTCTCCGGAGGCCTGAGTTCGCTTGTGGTCGGTCGGTTTCCTCTCTGTCTGCCGTCTGGCGCTTGCGCTCGTCGGTGGGTGGTTGGAGACTGGCCGCGTGGGCTTGGGTGGGAGGGGTAAGGGGTTAACTCTCTCGCGATTAAGCAAGCCCGCCAGGCGGGGGGACACTCCTGGTCACTTGGAGTGAGCCCTCGGGGGGGGAGGTGGCCGTTCGCGGCCCGCCGCCGGATCGTCGCGGATGCATGCTTCGGCGTTTCCCGTGGCGATCCACTTGGCGGCAACGGAGAGTGACCGCTGGTGTTTTAGTGGGTAACATGGGCCCTTCTGGCCGTGAATCCCACATAACCGCCTCTGTCTCCCCTAGACGGAGGGGTAGGTATAAAACCTTTCACCGCGATAACAAAAAAAAAAAAAAAAAAAAAAACGTATCACTTTTGGTTATAATATATATATATATATATAAGTATTAAAAGTGTTCACGAGCAAAGTCATGGACAACTAGTATCTTATATAAACCTAATCTCCTTATGATAACAAAAGCTAAGAGTTTGAACGGGTAATGAGACTATGCCTTAATAGATTCCGTTTACGGAGTTACTTCAAATTTAAAAACTCTTAATATCCCGCTAAGAAAATCCTTTAGCTGTTAAAGAGAATATACCATTACCTTCATAATACAAATGCATTTTAGATAAATGGAAAGTTCTCAGGAAAAGAATACGAGATGTTTATGAATAATTAAAAAACTCGGATACATTTATTAAAACGAATATTGCTGAAATATATTTCATATGAAATGATTATTTGTTTCAGCTTAATATATTACATTGTAATTTTTCAATATTAATTTTTAATTTAATTTCTACAATGTGTATATTGAAATGGTAATATGAAACAATATTTGTATATTTGGCTTCTAGAATTTCTTTCGAGAACAATAAAACCAGTCCTTGTAAGCATTAATTGTTAAGATTTTTGTTTGCCAGCCCATTGTGGAGATATGACGTTTTTGATTGTACACAAGCATTGTTCTTTGAAATAAAAGCATTGAGTGGCAAACTCATATTTCGTTTACTTTACATATTTGCCCAGCCGAGGTGACAAATTAATTAATGTATTGTTCTTAAACAAAACCTGTCACTCCAATAACGTGAACGTAAAACTAAAGGCAGACAGTGCAAACACTGCGCTAACTAAAAGAACAGTTTGACGTAAACATTGATGGCGTAGGAGAATTTTGGTTGTTGATATAGTGTACCTTCAGAGTTTAAGTAATAAATACTGACAAAGAAATTTGTGAAATTTATAGCTTGTGTAGAAATTATAGAAAATAGTACGCTAAACATTAACCAAAAGCGAAATATCTAAGTCTCGTGTAAGAAATGTATTTATCATAATAATCAGAAGTTTTATACTTATTTTAATTTTCTCGTAAACGTCGTGATTTGTGTGTTCTTGAACTAATCATGATGTGTATCTTACGTGAGGTTTATTATAAGATCTCATTATAAAAATGCATTCCTTCAAAAGTATCTTTTTCTTATGAATTTCTAACGATAAGATTAGTATAATAAAAGTAGTATAGCTGACTGTCTGACTACAGATTAACAGAATATTTTTCGTCCTAGAACATTTACATATCAGGATTCTCAGTAATTCAGTTTTAAGTATACATACATTGATTTGTTGTTTTACAAATGTATATAATAATGAACCCTATTGTTTCTTACTAGGAACAACGTAAACAAGATATATTCGGTAATATATTACATATTTTATTACATAAAGCATTTTTCCTCGATATGATTGTACATGGATATAAAACAGTAGCTGGTAAACACACTATCCTAGTATAATACTTTAATTATTCCTGATTTCAAACGCAGTTTACGATTTATTTACAAGTATATAAAAGTTTTTCTTAAATACGACACATATTAAATAACCACAGATTATTAGCAGTTCTTCTTTAAAATATGTAATAAAAAACCATTTAAACATAATTTATGTAAATTTATAACATGATTTGATAAAAGTCATACATACTTTTTTATTTTCCACTTAACTGTTTGATAACCTTGTTAAAATCTTTATAATATAATATAATATAATTACAAAAAAATATTGCTAGTTACAAGGTACTCCAGAAAATTCTCAGGAAAAACTAGGGAATCCTAAAACCAGTATAGTAAAATTTATTTTATTTAATGCAAAAAAGAGTAAATATTTTTGAATTACCTATTGAATGAGTAAGCAAAATTGTGACTAAGCAACAACAGAAGTTGTTTTATCTTGAAGCAGAAAAATGCGGGAAATAAATTAATGTTTAACATCTATTGTGCTCAGATAAAATGACATTTACAATTGACATAAAAAGATTCTGAATATAAATATATTACATTTATAACGTTATGTATTACTTTCCTTTTGTAAATAAACAAAAATAAATAGCAATATTTTAAAGTGGCGAACTTCATACTTTTTTTGTAAAAATATAATACATTACTAAATACGTTTTTTTCATTAATTAAGAGAGAGGAGCTTGGACAGTGGAGGTGAGCGTTTAACGCGCGTTAGTAAGGGGCCCCTTAAACCTACACCTGAGTCGCAAGTCCCAGACACTGTTGAAGCTCCTCTCCCTGCAACGCGATGGACCCGACACCCGCACGGTGAATCCATTGAATGCTAAAAGGTTTCGTCTCTTTATAAAAATATATAATTATAATTGAAGAATAATTTACCTACATACATATTGAGATAATAAGTAATAGCTATAGTGTTAAAGTAATTAATTCAATTTAATGTTTTTGAAAGAGTTAATTCTTCATACATTTCGCGAACTATTTAAAATCCTGGATTTACCGATTGATAGAAACAATGATACGGTTACAGAGGAAATACTGTTGTTATAAAAGCCTTTTATAGTATAGACTGAACATTACGACATTTCGTTTTCACATATAAAACCGGATACCATTACATACATATGATAAAAGTTAATTTCCTACTATTTAGGTTTTATTTTTGACGCCATTTACCTATTCAATGCATTCATTCTTTTATTCTTTACTATACTATCTTATAATTATAGAATTTAATTAATTATAGGTAAATTAGTTTTCTTATAATTAACCCACATTTACATATAACGTGATTTAGATCAATTCACCCAATTAATTAATTAGCTGTATTGTATTGTAATCAGTATATCATGACATTAGTTAAGTGTTATGTTCAATGTATTAAAAAAACGCCACTAGATTAAAACAAATCTATGTTATGGAAATTGCACCCTCATTGTTATTCAGATCTTACAAAACTAATTTATTGATAAAATTAATAATGTTCAACCAAAAAATTAATATTCTAGTAATCATTTACGTAGATGTGAATGGAATAAAAGTGAGTGGGTTCCTAGTAGGTTCTTTTCTAATTTGGTTAGGTAGAGAGAGGAGCTTGGACAGTAGGGGTGAGCGTTTATCGCGCGTTGGTTAAGGGGCCCCTTAAACCTACACCTGAGTCGCAAGTCCCAGTCACTGTTGAAGCTCCTCTCCCTGCAACGATGGACCCGGCACCCGCACGGTGAATCCATTGAATGAAAAGAGGTTTCGTTTCGTCTAACGCTTAAAACGATTGATGAAGAGATTTTTCACAACATTTTCTTTCGATTTTAGTATCTCTACACTTAATAGAATTATGCAATGAGGATTTTCTTATTATTATATGTTATAATTAATGCTTCAAAGTAATTGTAGATCATAGACACGTAACGTGATCACACTCATCCTGTTGTTACATTAAAGGTGGGGCAAATACATCTATCAAAAATCATACGTTTTTAAAACAATTACTTAGACGTTTTTTTAGTTTTTTCATATAACTGCAGCGGATAAACTAAACGAGTTAATATACAATATCCTTTGAGTTAAATAATATGAATATTTAACTATATTTTAATCTTAGTGAACCAACGAACTGAATATTTTTTGTTTAATTGTATATATGTATGTTTAAAACAGAATAATATAGTATTACAATGTAAAAAATCTTGTCATGTACGAGTATAAATCAAAATTAGTTTTCGCCATTGTTATAGAAAATGTATGAACATGATAACAAGGTATTAATTAGAAGTTTATGTGTATATTATATCTACTATATTATTTTTTACATGTAACTAAAAGTACGTATCACAAATAAACATGTTAGACGATATCAGATGTTTTGTGTACAAGTTACAAACGGACAGAGCAAGAAAACATCGTTCCTTATCTACAAGACGCTCGCTGTCAAACTGTGTACTGACGATATCAATTATAACCAATTATATAAATAATGATACTTATAAGACGTAATAAAAAATATTAAAAAAAAAAAAAAAACTTTTTTTTATACATCCTATAAAACCATTATGCTAATAAAAAGTATAATAAAAAATATTTCGATTCGATCACATAAAAAAATATTTAAATAATCTAAATTAGTTTATATGTTGAGATAACGTCATATTTTGTGATCACGTTTATTTAAAATATCAATGTTATGGTATCTCTAAGATATGAGAAAAATTCTTATTACATCGTATTAGACCGCTATCAGGAGTATTATTTGAATAGCGAATAAATTTTGAATATAAAAACGGATAATTTAATGAATAATACATACCGGGAACACAAAATAGCACACACAAACACAACACTAGCTCACCTTTTCTGTAGAAATCTTTTTCTAAACTCTATATACGCCGATCTTCCCTTATCCGTGTCATCGCCTATCTTTACACGTCCATGCAATGGCACCCTATGTCCGGAGATGCCGTAGTCCATTTGTATGTCAACAATCAGCATCAGTGTGAACAGTACGAGAAATGCGCTGAGAGCGAGCGCGAGCCGTTCCTTGAGCTTCATATTCATGGTGCGCGCGTACTGTCGGCGCTGCGCGGTGTCACTGGGCGCATGCGCGGGCGCATGGTCCGGCGTAGGGGAACGTTTAGCGCGCCGCCACCGCCTCAAGCGCGCGCGCACCCACCCGCTGCCGCTGCAACAATGCCATCATTATAAAACTATCGGTCATCGCGGAAGGTTGACTAAATGTAATCTTATTAAATTATATTGTTTGTTGCGTGTTACTTTGTATATAAATCTTTTATTATTATCCTTTTTTAATGATTTTTGGGATGGTTTGATTTTCTTATTTCTTATTTGTTTTGGCACTATTAGTAGGTATATTTCTTCTCTCAGTATATATGATTAGAAGAGAAAATGAGTTTTCATTAACATGACATTGTACTATGGTCAGATTTACATTTGATACCATCTTAGGTTATAATAAGACAAGGTTATCCTTTATATATTATGTCAGTTATTTATTTCATATTCTGAAGATGTTTATGAAAAATTCTTATAGCAGCTACATGTTTTATCATTTATAGAATAACGCGGAAACTATTAGCTATTATTTCTGTTAAAAGTATTTCTTAAATGTCTAAAACGTGATGATCTAAACTAACCAGTTCATATACAAATACCAAGGAGACAGCGGTCGTGTAGTTTGAACTGTTACAGACTCTAATTACCCACGACCAAGATGTTTTTGTATGATGCCAGTTGATAACGTTGATATTAGAGTTTTTCTTTATCACAGATTAAGTTCATATATTCAATATAATATTATCGTACTGTTTCGTTTATTCGCATATTTTGCAAAATTTTCTGTTCCGTTCTGCTGGGTCATCCGTCAAAACGTATATGTATGTATATATGTATGTATTTCTGAAGCATGTGCATTTTGCATTTTTAATTCCATCGCTTTTAAAAAATTCAAAAATATTTTAGATCCTTTAAAAGTTTATTCTGCATTCTAAAATTTCTTCAATCTAATTATGAAAATAAATCATAAAGTGCAAGGTGTGTTCGCAACAACGTCTTATAAAATTGCCAAGATTTTAATATTTAAACAAAGTATTCCTTATATCACCGTATATATGTATATAATAATTCAATTATTAGGTAAAATTTTCGCTTCATCCTTACTATATTATAATGAACCGCTGTAAGTTAATACATCTTAATGTTGACGCACTTATGTTTCTAATATCCGCCACATCAGCTTATCACATTCGTTTCATAACATGAGGTCTACTCGTGTTACGATAATGTGACACCAACTTCAAACTAGCCGTTTATTACATTGACATAGAGTTCAAAATAGCAAGTGAATTAATGTTAAAAATTTGCAGACGACAGCAAAATACTAGAATAATATTATAAACATATAATTTCGCAATAATTGACATTCAGCAATTATAATTTTTCTACGCGGAATATACAATATAAATAGTTTGCAAATTTATTGCAAAACGTAATTTTATACGCGTATTTTGTAATAGCAAATAATTTATACAAGTTAAAATATCTATTTATCAAACTTCTAAACTTTGAATAATAAGTAAGTTATTATTTAATTAATAATAGTTGGTTAAAGACAATAAACCTTGAAAAATATTTATTCGAACTTAAAAACATCTTCTATAACAATATTTTTGTGCGTCACGATCTATTGTAAAACTGTTTTCATCTTCGGTGTTCAAGTGTTTTCTATAACTTTCTAGTATCAAAACACGGGGTTAGAAACCTTTTAGGATAATATTTTTTCAAAATAAGATTGATGATAAGAGAAAGAAAATCTTTATAATGAAATTATCGCGACTAATATTTAGAAAACTGGAGATTTATTTCAACAAATTTTAAGCCATTATCTGGCAATTTCCCAGCTTTAGCCAGGGTCTGCCTTACATGTTGTGAATAGTTTTGGCTAATTGTTTTTTACGACCGGCCGTCTGCCTGACATCAACCCTCTTTGGGAATGCATTAGTCAGTGATGTCTAAATACTCTTAGAAAGTACATGACTCGGAAAAATCACATATGTACTTTCCAGGATCGAACCCGCGCCCTCATGCATGAGAGACGGGCCTTTTAACCACTGCGCCACCACTGACATAACTCTCACAGTATGTGTTTGTGTTAATGTATTGTTGTCTCTAGTTAGTGTGGAGTAAGGCTTGAATCAATCAATAGAACTCCTTCGTTACTCGTCACTCAACACATACAATATAATTTTCACCTATTGAAAAATGTAAAAATGACTTTGTTTGTTATGAATACAATGAATATCAAAGAATATGCAATTAATTAATATGGAAATTTTGATGATTTTTTTTTAATTAATTAGTTTTATACTAATAATTATAGTACTTTGTAAAATAAAATTGTTGAAGGCGCTTAAAACATATAAATATATGTTATCTGATTGGATTTTCACTCTGAAAATATGTCTTATTTTATCAACAAAAAATATCTTTGTAGTAGTTCTGTTTTAAATATAAACAATATATATTGTTGTACAGTTTCCACGTATGTCATACTCAGCCCTTCAGATTCAAGAAGTACGGAAACGAGCAAGAGAAAGACTGTATTGCCAATTATCTGATGTACAGAGTGGCACGCAGCTCGTTAATTTATAAGTTCGCAACTAGTTAGTTAGCACCATTGAAACAAAATTGAAATAGTATTAAAAAATACGTCACCTATGTATATGAATGAAACGAAAATAAGTGAGATAAATCACTAATGAAACAAATGAGTTATATTAAGATAATGATCTTAAAGAAAGGCCGCAGCTAATTCATATAAATACAACTTTAATTAAAAAAGAATTATTGTCGATCTTCACTTAGAGTATTTATAAAACACACACACACACACACACACACACACACACACACACACACACACACACACACACACACACACACACAAACACACACACACATACACTCACACACAAACACACACAGCTATCTTTTATTTTCGATTCCTTTTCGTACCTAATTCCTTAACAATGACATCTGTTTGGTAGTTTTCTCCCCAAATTCCTTCCCTCCTCCCCAAATAAAGTTAGTCATTTCATTATTTTTTACATACTATTTACCCTAATTTACAGATTTTTTACCTAAATACATAACAAATGTCACATGTTATTACAAAAGCAGCCACGCATAATGTCATAAAATGCAGTCGCCCATAGTGTCACAATATAAGTACATTAAGCAACAATTACCGCGTCATTGCTCAAGCGGTGTTGATTTCCGAATTTGGTTTTGAAGCCAGCCTTTATATCTGGTCTTACTTGATAATCTGGCCTTTAATATTACAAATATGATATAATTAACGTAATTAATGCATATTATATTTAAAAAAATCCTAAATAAGGTATTTTCCAGCTTATAATATATATCACAAAGTTTAACGATTTTAATAAAACCGAATTTGTTTCATGAAATTTTCTAAAGAAAAGCTATATAGATACTTTCAATGCATTTAAATAAGTACATAAAATATACTAGTATATTATATCCGTATAAAACTTTTGATGTAACTTAATTAAATATAACAAAAGAAAATATAAGAAGCACACAATGAAAATCATTAAGACTGAGAACACGCTATGATCGTTTTAGTAGTTAAATAAACAAAGGATTACAACGGACATACCATTTCATATATATCTTAATCGCAAACTCCATTACAAGAATTTGTGCAGTATTGTTATATAAAATAAATAAAATGTGTATGCTATAATAAAGAAAGATACTTCTTTTTAGGCTATGGCTTCATTCGCACTGGAATCGTGGAATATTATGACAATGTCAACGTTTTTATTTCTTGTACGAATTATAATCTTAATTACTGTGTGGTGGAAACAAAGAGGTACATAAACGTAATTGTTATAATAAATAATTGACAGATGGATTGATTTGAATGCTTTATAAAGTAATTAACATTTTCAATTCTCATTAACAATTAGTTCAGAAACTTTAAAACTGTCCCTCAATGTACTTCAGGAATTTGGTTAAAATAAAAAAATATAACTATTATCTAGTTTACTTCTTACTATAATTCAATAATTAAAGTTGTTTTTTTATAAACTTGATACAATACATAGAGAATGTGTGCAAATATTTTATTTAAAATTGAGAAGAAGTATGCATAATGCATATATAGATATATTTCTTTTAAATGGCTATTTTTGTAATACATTCTCCGTATATTTAACAAAAATTATATTAAAAATAATAACATAATCCTTAATTATTATTAATGCTAATTTACAGCAAGAATCTTTTAAGAACTTTTATGAGTTTTTTTTTGTGTTTATTATATATTTTATTCAACATCTAATAATCTCGACAAATGTTAAAAGTGACGTGAAACCTTAGTGTGAACTGGGACATTACGTAGCATAATGCGATTTGATTACTATTCATTATTTACTGAAAATAACAAGTTTTATTATACTAGACAACTATCAATATGCATAATACGATAATATGACGCTGAAGTATAAAAAAAAATGTTATTCATATGAAAACAAAGTAAAGGAACTATTGAAAAATACTAAATATATCACAAAAATAAATGTAATAAAATCATTATCATATACAAACTTTTATGAAATATATAGAATTATTATAATACTGGGCAAGTAAAAAATACATATGTCTGAATTTTTATTATTTTATGTCGATTATTAAAGATAAATATATCTATAATAATATTTAATGATAATAAAATATCAATTATATCGAATATTGTATTTATGAATACTTACTGTGATAACTAAATTGACCATCATACAAAGGAAGGACGCAAATTACCTGTCTCCAAGTTAATAACTAAATTGCTTTGAACGAATGTCAACGACACAATTGTTCTTATACCGTGCGATAAAGAATGCGGGTTTTAATCAATCCATACATTTAAACTATAAAAATCACTATATAATATATTTATTGTAGAATTATACGAAAAAACTTATTGTAAAATATAAATAGTAAGTAAATAGTAAGTCTTAGCAATTTAAAATACGAATCAACATGATATTTTCAGTATTAGTCTCAATAAAATTATCAAGGAATTATTTTAATTATTGTTTTCAAAGAATTGATTGGAG